TCCATCCACCCAGTTGGTCTGTTTAAATCTCTAAACACTAATATTTAACTGTTATTATAACAGCAAATCTATGTACAACACCCTTTTCATGTTATATGAGTTTTATTTCATGATTTGTCGCCGACTGAATTTGTAACTCAAGTTGTGGTTCATTTTGTTTTCTGTATGTGCCGGTTGCGTTTGACAGAATAAGACCAATACAAACCAGTATATAGCATAAAAGTGGGACACATCATATGGGACTGTTCCAGCTCCATACGCACAGTGTGAAGTGTGCGGCGCAGCGCGATGGCAGTTGGTATAATCCTGAACCATTTCATGCTGTTGTGTCAACTTGTCACTTGAAAATGAGTGTGAAACTGCAAAACTGTCAAATCACAAATCCTCACAAACGTGGGGCGTTAAACTTTTCTTCAGTGTTATTGTCAAAAAATTGGGAGCTTGTGCGAGGAATTGCACGCACCGTCGCAACTGACACGCATACACTCAAAACTTGAGTGAACTTTTCATTCCGATCACATGAGGATAAAAAGAGGCTCTTTGATTAAATTTTTTTTTTTTTATTTCACTGGAAATTCACATTGTTTTTATACATCCCAAGTGGAATACTGTCAATGAAAAGGTTTCCTCTGATTTTAATTGATTTATATATTTGTATATACTTCTGTTAATCATTGTTTGCGTCTATCTTATGTAAATACAGCAAATTTTGATGTTGTCTTGTGATAAATGCTTTTAGGTGTAGGTGCCATTCAGGGCATTGCAAAAATTAATTTGTTATACTGGAAAATGTGTAACAACATTAAAGTAATGATTAGTTGATTAATCAATGAGATGCTCATTGATTAATTTGTTGTTCTGGCTGTTATATTATGTAAATGCTATTTATTTCAAGCAAAGATAATTACAGCTTCAAGAAGGAGAGAAGTTGTTGCTTTTCATCGTTATAATTCACTGTGAACGAAACATAACTTGAGTTTTTGGACTTTTTGAACTAAACGAGATGTCGAGCAGCGCAGAGGAACAGAGCGAGTTGTTCTGCTTGAAGATGACTCATGAGTTTAATATTGAGCTTCACTTTCATACCAGCAATTATCCAGCAGGAGTAGGCGTCCGTTTTTACAAACAGTGGACAAATTATCGAAAGAGCAGGACTCACACACAAACACACACATGCATAAAGTCTCACATGTGTCAATGTCCAAACCACAGGAAGGGCTACACAAACAGCTGGCATCAGCGAGCTCAGAGTGTTCAGCTGTTCTGAGTACAAACAGTTCGCTGTGTTTACAAGTAAAGCCTTTTAAATGTCAGGCAGGACTAATAGAATCCTCCAAAAACAAAGAGTTGGACTTACGGTGCAGGCAGGCATGGAGTCATCATCGCCCGCAGAGTCCTCAGGGTCGTGATGAGCATCCTGTAATAACACAGAGGGAGAGAGAGATGGATTAACACATACCTGACACACAGAGGCGACATGGTGGATCGCAGCTGCTTCCTGTGTGATCACACCAGGCGGCTGCAGCGTCACTGCTGCAGGTTGAGGCATGTTCACCTGAACAACTGTCTGTTGTGACAACCACACCCCCACTTCCCTGTAAACACAAGTCACTACTGCACAGGCCTGTTTCAGGCAGATTACCCGTCAGTCCACCTGCTGCAGGTAACATGCATGACAAGTGTTTCCAGGGAAGTGATGATCAGCAGCTTCATCAAGATATTTACTATGATCATCCCGTTAAAGATTTCCACCTTAAAATAGGGCACTTTAAAACCCTGGTTCTAATTTAGTGATGTACTGTAACCAGCTGCTGTACATGTAGAGTGTAGATCAGGTCTGTGAAGAGCTTCATTATTTAGTCACATCACATGTTTGTATTGATGGTGAGGTGACGCAAGCTGCACACTGAGTGGGCGTCTTTTATTTTGAAAGTCTTTCATCACCCTCTCCCTCCTGCTCCCTGCCATGAAGGAATCCGACCAGAGTTGAGATTAAAACAAAAAGGAGGGCGAGACAAAGTCGCAGACGGTCGTGGCCACCAACCTCGTCTGCTCTGCCAGGAGGGACAGAGCGAAACAACAGATATGAATTAGCCTTACGTAAAGTAGATTAACGGCCTGTCTGGAACTGCTGCTGGAACAACAGCTGTGATTCAGACACTGATACCACTGACAAAATACAATAATAACAATAAAAGCGATTATATTATGATGAATATTTACTGTGTGCAGAGCCAAGAGGACAAGTCTGAAATCAGCAGAGGGAGAGAAGAGTGAGCAGCAGGAGATGGATGGTGGACAGCGAGAGAGATGGATTTTAATGAGAAAGAGGAAGAAAGAAGCAGAAGGTGATAGAGAGGACAGGGCTGCAGACGGACAAGAAAAGGGAAGAGCTCTGGTGTTGCTCAAAGTGACGAAACGCAGAGTCAGAACCATAGACGGTAGATAAAGATGGACGACATGTCTCTACTTCCTCCCACTATCCAGAAATGAAGCCAGAATATCCCAGGTGTGAGTGCTGCCATGTCGTGCCAATGACGTCATTTGGAGTTTGAGTCTGTGCAGTAGTGATTGGGGGGGTGGAGCCACAGTATCAAGGTCCCACCGATAAACATGCTCAACCTGCGTGAGTAAGTCTCCTCTGCCAATCATAACGTCAAAGCCCCGTCAATCATCATCCAACCTGATTTTGACGCACGCACTAGATGATTCGGTCAGAACGTCAGACCACACACGTGCCGTTTGTAGGAAACAATTTCACAGCAGCCATTCCAGAGACTTGAAATCTCACAGAAACTCGCAAGATTCTTCTTCGGTTTTTTATGGCGTTAGCAAACAACATTCCAGCGAAGGTTTATCTTAGCTGCGTTTGGGGGAATAATCGTCCCACAGGTTTTGTAACGACACTTCCCTTAGTTTGGGGTGTTGTAAACTGTTTTTTTAATCTATGCAATCAGTTGGTTAGCCGCAGGTTACAACGTGAACTCTGTTTTCTCTAGCATCTATTTGATGTTAAGGACTTAGTACCATTGAAAGTATGCTGAATTAGCAATTAGCTGTTTTTGTTTGCAGTGTGTCCCCGTATGTTCAGACTGGATTAGTTTGATGATGAAGAAAACTGTGAAATGTGACGACTCTCCGGCAGGTTCTGGAGCATCTTTCTGTGAGCAGATTAAAAGATACGTATTGACGCTGCACATCGAAGGTAATGATATTCTCCTCAAGTGTAATCTAAAGATGTGTGTTCTCAGATTTAACTGAGTCATGCCTGTGAGATGGAGCGAGATATCTTTAAACCAAAGGGTTTTATAAGTTCTTAATTGCAATGGGTCAAATTATAACAAACTGTTTTTAGAACGTTGACATGCACCATGTTTCTTTCACCTCATTCCTCACGTCTCTCTTTCTCCTCACCACCCAGCAAACCCTCTGCTGTGAGGTATCGACCACGTATTGTCTGTAGCAGCGAGCAACAAAAGGCTGAAATCAAATCCCTCGTCAGAGGATTGGACTGTTTTTTTTCACTTGGTATCGACACATGATCTGTATCTAGGTCCTCAGACACGGTGCATTCAGGGTCAAGGGAAATGATAATGCTGTATGGGCTCTAATTATTTTCCTTTTGTAGGAAAAGAGCTCATGTACAGTTTTTTTTAATCAAGGTCAATTGTTTGGTCCCAAGCACGACAGTGCATGGATCTATGGTTTTTGCTCTGTTTATTATTTTTCTTATGTGTCTGTGTAACAGAGTTTATTTGATGATATTCCACTTGCTCTTTCTCTCTCTATATATATATATGTACCCCGGGGTGCCTCCACTGGGTGGCGCTGTAGTGATGTTCGGGGTGTTGTTTTGTACATCTGTGGTTTTGTGTGTGGGAGACTTCCGGAAATGGAGGTGTGACGGTGTGGTCCCAGGCAGGTAACCAGGCTGGCTCTGAACACTACAACGAAGAATAAAATTCCTCGGAACTGGGAACGTGTTTCACATTTTACGAAGAAATTACACAAAGCAGAGTAAACACTAGACCAGTCTATCCAGACTGTCGCCGATCATTGTTACATCTGCATATTGAAATGCCTTTTGGGGGCCCTTGACATACTCGTAAACTTTAAAACCAAATTGTGAAGGTACGTCAGGTCTGGTGAAAATGTACATATATTAACATAATTTCTCAGCAACATCACAAAAGCTTGGTGTGTTGTTAAGAGGAAATGTGTGGGGTTGACTTGGAAAATAATGGCTTCTTTTATTTTGTATTTACGAGAATATGATTTAGAAAGGGAAGCTACACCTTCCTGTCTTAGTTGTATTTACAGAAAAGTCAGAAATTATTATTATTATTATTATTATCTGTCATCACAAACACAAAATAAGGAGATTGTAGCAGAAATTATATATTTTATTAATTTTTTTTTTTTTAATTTAAAGCTAAGAGGCTCAATTTCATTTTAAGGACCTGTAGATTTGCAGCGATTCACAGATCAGTTGCTCAACAGGAAATCTGCAAATATTTGATATTATCAATTCATTTTTTCCATCCTGTCTTGAACAAAATACCAAATATCTGTAGGTTACAGATTCTTACATGTTTGAATTTGATGCTTTTTTGGTCATGTATGACAATAACCTGCTTTTCAGACAAAACAAGACATTTGAAGATATTATCTGAGCTCTGCGTCTTATTTTAAGATGACTCAGAAAACCGTGGACAGATTAATTGGATGTCAGTCCAGGTCACATGATAACTACCACGGAACATTTTTTTATTCATAAAACAGTCCAGACAATTTACTTTCTAAGCTTCAAAGGCAACGTCTCTTACTACAATGTGGTTGAGGAACAGATCAAAGCAAGATAACTCAAGAGTCTAATAACTGACAACTCTGAGACACGATGAGCGTGATGTCATCGACTGTCACAAGAGAATCGCTGTGGCAGAAATTGCTCCTAAAAACCATTGTTCACTTTGGTCACACTGCAGCACCTGTTAATCGACATGGAGAGAGTCGACAGCTCAACAGACGCGACACAAGAACAACAGAGCACCAGCAGCAAAATTCTGGAGGACCTCTGCCAAAACCTCCTGAATTTGAAGACGGAGAACCGGGAGCTGGCAAATGAAAATGCCTTTCTGAGGGAGCTGAAGTCTGAAAACCTCGCCCGGTTGGAGCTGGTGAATGAAAACACTGCCCTGAAGAAACAGATCCACACTAACAACCTCACCTGGAAAACAGAGAGAAACAAGATGATGAAGGAGATCGAGTCTTTGACCGCACATCTGTGTAAGTGCAATTGGGACTTGACCACCTTGAATCAACAACTAATCTCTGCAAAGGCCAGAGAGAAGGAGCTGAAGAAGGAGCTCAGAGAGATGAGGCTCCAAGTAAAGGAGGGAGAGGTCGACTGCCCGAGTGAAGATCTCCAACAGGCTGAGAGAGAGAAATGTCAAGATCTAGAGAGCTATGAGGAAAAGCGAGGGATCAGCATCCTCCTACATTGGGCCAGCTCAGAGAAACAGAAACCGATGGGAACGTTGGAGGAGACGTCGTTCATCAAGCAGGAGGTGTTAACCCAGAAAGAAAACAGGCAGGTGGAAGTAATATGTATGAGAGAAACTTATGTTTCTGTCTTTTCAGGAGCTCGCCTTGAAGAATGCCAAGCAGAGGATAGGGGAGGAGAAACAGAAAAGAAATGAGATGAAGAAGATGGAGAGAAAATAAATAACGATCCTAACTCCCCCCACTCCCTTACTTTATATTTAAATACTTTATATTTACATTCAGGAGCGGGTCCTCTCTACGGAGGCCACCGTGTTTTTTTCAGTAGCTCAGACTGGACAAACTAAACCTTTTGAGTTTCTATGACAACTGAAGCTACCACAGGTTCTTCTTCATGTTTCAATTTCATTTTTTCCAATTCTACACACTGAACCTTTAATTTAGCTAACGCTTTTAAACAATAAAATCTGGCCTCAAGTTCACACCCCAAGAGAGTAGATATGGAAATGGAAATACACTGAATTAATTTAGTCCACATTTGTGCGCGTCTTCCGAAAGCTTATGCAGACGAGACGGTGCAGTCCCACCGGAGATTGTAGGGGGCAGTGTAGCCAATAGTACATGATACACAGGGCATGAGGGAGAATTCTCCACTTTTCAAATTTACAACTTGGAAAGTTGAACCACCGACGTTAACAACTCGGCCACTTTTGCCTCTTTTATACGTTTTACTATCACAACTCTCAGCTCTGCCCGGCCCCCTGGTGGACTTACTTCCTATCATACATGCCAATGTAAAGGATGAATGGATGAATGGATGAACGTGGACAGTGAGGTTAACATTGTTTGAAACAAGCACATCTTTTTTTCTTTTTTTTTTTACGTAAAGGCAGCGTAAATAAACGTTCACATCAAAACTTGCATTAATCACCGCACACTAACTGTTTCTCCTCTCCTTTGTCAACTCGCCAGTGTTTCCCTTTTTCTGTTGCCATTCCTCCAACACAGCTTGGCAGACAACAAAAAGAGGGACATCTGCAGAGAAAAGGGAAATACCAGCCTGATCTGTGGAGCTTATGCTGCAGAGAGCTCGTGTGAGGGTGTAGCTGAACGTTTTTAAGGCATTTCTTACACAGAAAGAGGAATGTGGATTTGCTACCTCTTATATCGGAGCTGTGTTAGGAAGGGATCACTTCAGAGCAAGTACGGACAGGAGGAACAACGTCAGCAACCAATATCACTTTCAGTGTCTCTGTGGGAATAAGGGATTAAAACAGACTTGTAGAAAAAGTGGAGGTGTTATTTAGAACTGGGACCATCCCATCACAACATGAATGTGATCGTCTGTAGTAGCGTTCTAATGAGTGCAGTGTGTTCTCTTAGTTTTAAAACCTACATAAGCATCAGCTCTTTGTCATTTAAAAGTAATGTCCTGCTTTAAATGCTCAAATTATAAGAAAAATGAAAATTAACCTTGTTTAATTTTTCTTAAATCAGACATTTCTTCATTTTGGACGAAAATAAAAATAGTTTCTGCAGAAAATTGACTTGAAGACAGATTTTCTTTCTGTTCACAAAGCTCTGTTCGATGAGTAACTTTTAATTGTTGATGAATTGGTTCAGGCACCAGAGAAAAGGAACTCCTCAAACATGTGTCGAATGATAACCTCATCTGATGATGATGAGTTTTATCACAGATGAAATTATTAACAGCATTTTACACACAAAATAATAAAAAAATAAAATTGTTAGTTGCGTGCATCAGTTGATGAGAGGAGAGTTTCTTAAACGTTGTCATTTCATTCAGCTTTCTAACGCAGTTTTTTTTTTTTTTGAGTTAAAAACATTTGAGCCTACGGAGCCAGATTTGTTTCCGCGGTTATCTTTACTCATCATTATTTCACCAGACAACTACAGCCCCTCTCTGCTCTTGGTGTGTCGGTGTGTGCGATAATGCTGGTGTTGAATGGACTTGTCTTGAGGGCAAAAATCCACCAGCAGCATCTCCACTTCATTCCACAACTGCACCACTCACTCTGTTGTGTGTGTGTGAGTGGCTGTTTTGTTTTGTTCTGCGGTGGCCTAGAAAAAGGCGTAACGACAGCTTACGCTCGGCTATCAGACACATCGCCGAGTAGAGGCGTAAAACAACAGGTCAAAGGTCGGCGTCATCGAGCAGTGGCAGCGTGTGAGCACGTTCCTGTCTGGTTGAATTTGAGGGGGAAAGAGGTGGTGTGGGAACACGGCGAGCAGGTACGAGCTTGTTAGAGCACAGACAGAAGAAAAGAAGCTGCAGTGACTCAGTTTGAGGTCTAACGTGACTCAGGTTTGATTTAACACAATCTGCCTACAGAGTGACACACACACACACACACACACATGCAGCTATTTCTCCATGCACCCTTTGTGACACCTCAAACAGGAAGTGGACACACACACACACAAAGACGCAAGCGCTTCCTGAATCATGCGTTCGCAGTAGCACCGCCTCCAGCTCTTTATCAAGATTCTAAAACTTGTAGGAAGGAAGAAACAAAAGGAAAAAGACACCAACACACTCTGCTTTTTCTGTTTCATGCTTTTACCTCAGAGTTGACGAAGAAATATTTACATCAGAGGAATCTCACATTTTGGCTTTAACTTGGAAAATCTTTTTTTGTTCGTTTTTACGGTTAAAAAATAATCCAAACAAAAATCACAAATCAGAACCGATAAACCGGCTGGTATGAATGACCTTGAACAACTGTGACCTGTCCACACGTGCCCGTGTCAACGTTTTCAAGGTCATTTATTCTGACAATTCAACGATGGCATGACAAACAAAACTCAATTAACAGATTCATCAATGTGTAAATGTTCATTTGCAGCCCTTGGTTTTTTTGCGCTCTAACTATAAACTCCTTTAAAGAGCATTATTGTGATCAATATAAGATTTTAAAAAAAGACACCATACAGTATCACGAGAGCAATCAAACACACTGCACTACCCTTTAGAAGTATTGAAGTACAGGACGCACACACATACAGCTTTTGTTTGATACTTTAAGGAGTATTTTACTCACATTTCATGTACTTTAAGGAGCTCTGTGAGTGACCCCGGCTGTTGATAAAGGCCTAATCTAATTTTCTACTCAATGGTTGGAGATTTCAGCACATGTGTGGTAGTATTTGATGACACAGTAGTATTTGTCCTGTAGTACCGATGTACACAGAACAGTAATGTGACTTTGTGATACTTGAAGGTGGATTTAATTCGTTTGCCCTTTTAGAAGCTTTGAGAGCAGATAGTGTTCCCATATTAATCTAATTCTCATTGACTTTCATGTCACGCTTTTGCACTTAGGAACATTTTCAGCCTCACAATTTATCACTGTCACATGGTTGTGTTATTCCTGAGGACATTTCTGCACATGTGTGTGTGTGTCGTAGTCACTATGTGTGTGTGTGTGTTGGCAGTCACTATGTGTGTGTGTGTGTGTGTTGGTAGTCACTATGTGTGTGTGTGT